TGCACTTTTCCGTTTTGAATCGCTTTCGCTTTCTTCTGCGTTCACTTCTTTTATTCTGCACTTTTCCGTTTTGAATCGCTTTCGTTTTCTTCTGCGCTCACTTCTTTTATTCTGCACTTTTCCGTTTTGAATCGCTTTCGCTTTCTTCTGCGCTCACTTCTTTTATTCTGCACTCTGTTCATATTCAGTTTCGCTTTCGTTCTTGTTCACCTCTTATATTCTGCACTTTGTTCATACTCAGTTTCGCTTTCTTCGTTCACTTATTTTATTTTGCACTTCTATTCGTAGTCAGTGTTGCCTTCTTCTATGTTCACTTCTTTTATTCCGCACTTCTGTTCACATTCAGTTTCGCTTTCTTCTTTCATTTCACTTTTTTGTTTTGCACCTTTTGGCTTCTGTTCAGTTTTGCTTTCTTTTGCTGCGTTCTTTTTTGCTTTCTTCTTTCTTTCTTCTCCTGTACTCATTTGACGCTTTAAATTGTACTCACTTTTGTTCTTCTTTCTTCTTTTTTCTTTTGGTCTTCCTACTTCTTTTTCTGCCCACTTTTCTTCTTTCTTACTTCCTTTATTCCTCTTCGTTTTCCTTTTTCTTTTTATCACACTTTTGGTATTTGCTGTTTGTTCGACTTTTCTTCGTAATTCTCTTTCTTCTCGCTTTGGACTTCTCGTTCTGTTTTTCTTTCAGTTTTCGACTTTTTTCTTTCAGAAATTTGCTTCGTTTCGCTTGTTTTTTTTTCACTTTGGCGCTGCTTTCTTTTGTCTATGTTTTGTTTTATTTCGTTTCTTTTTGTTTTGTTCCATTTCCTTTTCATTCGGATTGACCTTTCGTTTTATTTGGCGTTTCGTTCTGTTCAATTTCAGGTTTTGTTTCATTTCAACTTCTGCTGTGTTTTGGTTAACCTTGTTTCGTTTATTTAAGGCCTGCCTTTGCTCTACTTCAGGCCTTCTTTCTTTCTATTTCAGGCCTTGTTTCGTCTTATTTTAGGTTCCATTTAATTGTATTTCATTTCGGGTTTCATTTCACATCATTTCAGGTCCTACTTTGTTTCGTTTCAGATGCTTCTTTTCACTGTTTCATTTCATTTCCACTTGCATTTTCAAATTCGTTTTCGAGTTTCATTTCCAATTCGTTTCTAAATATTTGAAGTTTGCTTTATTTCCATTTCCATTTCCTTCCTCTGTCTGCATCTTTCGCACTTCATTCTGCCTTCGCTTGTGTTCTTTATTTCCAAAATTGATTTCATTTCATCTTGTTCTCATTCCTAGTATTGTTTCGACTTCAGATTTGTTTCCAGAAGTGATTTCCAATCCCACTTTTTTTCCGAATTTCGTTTTTAACTGATTTTGATTTCCTTTCCGTTTTTGTTCTTTTCAAGACGCATTCCTGGCTTGCAAAATATTTTCCTCCTCCATTCCATTTCGGTTTCTTCTTCATCTTTGCTTCTGTTCCATTTCCATTTCTTTTTCATTTCCTTTTGCATTTCCATTCCGCCTTTGTTCTGTTTTCGCTTAACTGAGTTCAAAACCCACAAACGAGGGTTTAGGGTTTAGCGTCCAGGGTTTAGGGTTTGCTGCTTCTTGTGTCTACTGGGCAGATGGCCAAAAAGCTGGAGAGAGAACGCGTTATTTCCCTCCTCAACCGGAGAAAATTGTGCCTCGTAATAGCTGCTGCTGCTGCTGCTGCTGCTGCTGTTGTTGCTGCTGCTGTTGCTGCTGCTAAGACGATCAGCAGCAGATTAAACTTCTCGGCTGCGCTGCTGCTGCTTTACATCGCAGCAACAGCAGCATCATCTTCACTTGCCTAGCACTGTGTGGCTTGGGCTGCTACTGTTCTTGCTGCTGCTGCTGCTGTTTGTTGTTGCTGCTGCTGCTGCTGCTGCAGGTGTTAGACTTAGACAACACTTTGCTGCATGCGACTTCGGTGCCGCCCCCAGTGGACTGCCTCCCCACAATTCTGTTAGATGACTTCGCCCCCAAGCCGGAAAGGCAGCAGCAGCAGCAGCAGCAGCAGCAGCAGCAGCCGGAAGCAGCAGCGGGGACGCCTGGAGCTGCCGCTCCTGCTGCAGCAACAGCTGACGCAGCAGCGCCTGGAGAGGCTACAAATGCAGAGGCAGAGAGAGGGCCAGACGGAGACCCACAAGGGGAACAGCCCAGCAGCAGCAGCAGCAGCAGCAGCAGCAGCAGCAGCAGCAACGGCAGCAGCTCGTCGCGCTTCAGCGCTCCGCAGCAGCAGACCTGGGAGGAGGTTTGCTTCCCCCCCTCCAGCAGCAGCAGCAGCAGCAGCAGCAGGGAGTACCCGCACTACCGCACAGATGCTGCTGCTGCTCGCATTGTGTCTCTTTTGGAGTCTTCTGTTATTTGCTGCCGAGTTGCTGCTGACGAAGGAGACACTTGGGGCCCTCCTTGTCCGCTTAATTAATTAATTAATTAATTAATTAATTAATTAATTAATTAATTAATTAATTAATTAGTCGGAATTAAGTTGCATGCATTTAATCGAACTTTTGAATTAATTGAATTCATTTGACTTTCTTTGGGCGCAGACCACCGCAGCGTCATCAAGTTGAGGCCCGGCAGCATTTCTTTCTTGCGGTGGGCCTTTTGGCGAATTAAAAGAAATAAAAGAATTAAAGAAATAAAAGAATTAAAAGAATAAAAGAAATAAAAGAATAAAAGAAATAAAAGAAATAAAAGAAATAAAAGAAATAAAAGAAGTAAAATAGGGTTTAGGGTTTAGGGTTTAGGGTTTAGGGTTTAGGGTTTAGGGTTTGTGTGCGCAGGGAGATGTCGCGTCACTTTGAGTTGTTTCTGTACACGATGGGCACTTCGACGCACGCAAAGACAGTGAGCGTCCCCTCCCCTCCCCTGCCCCTGCCGCTGCTGCTGCTGCTGCTGCTGCAGCTGCTGCTGCTGCTGCTGCTGCTGCTGCTGCAGGCGCTGCGGCTGCTGGACCCGCGGCTGCGTTTCTTCGGGGGCCGCGTCTTCACCCGCGGCGACAGCGTGGGGGGTTTGAAGAGTCTGCAGCGGATTTTTTCTCTTGGCAGCAAACTGAGTGTTGCTGTTGATGATCTGCAGCAAATTTGGAAAGAAGCAAACCAAGTTGTGCAGGTCCACGGCTACTTCTTCTTCCAGGAAGCAGCAGCAGCAGCAGCAGCAGCAGCGCTGCGCCCCGCGGCCGCTTCCCTGTGGCTCGCTGCTGCCAAGCCCTACTGCGGCTTCCTGCCCTCAGGTGCGCTGCTGCTGCTGCTGCTGCGCTGCTGCTGCGCTGCTGCGGAGGAGGTGCTGCTGCTGCTGCTGTGCTGCTGCTGTGCTGCTGCGGAGGAGGTGCTGCTGCTGTGCTGCTGCTGTGGCGCAGTGGTGAGCAGGAGAGCAGCAGCAAGCGACAGAGGAGCCAAACGGCCAGGTGCAGAGCAGCAGCAGCAGCAGCAGCAGCAGCAGCAACGCCACGCGGACGCGCATGTGCAGCAGCAAAGGGAGCAGCAGGAAGAACGGCTTCAGCAGCAGCAGCAGCAGCAGAAAGAGCAGCAGCAGCAGACAGACAGCAAGTCAGCAGCAAACCCAGAACCCACACACGCACAGGCAGCAGCCTCCAGTGCAACTGCAGCAACGACCCAAGCAGCAGCAGCAGCAGCAGAAGCAGCAAGAGAAGCAACAGCAGCACGAGCTGAAGCAGCAGCAGCAGCAAAAGCCCCGACTGCCGCCGATCCAGAGCCAAATGGCGGTGGCCAGCAGCAGCAGCAACAACAGCAGCAGCAGCAGCAGCAAGCAGCAGCAACAAAAGCAACGGACGCAGCGCAGCAAAAGCGGCAGGGGACTCTTCCTGCAAACAGAGAGTAAGCCACCAGACTCCCCCTTATTTCGCTGCTGCTGCTGCTGCTGCTGCTGCTGCTGCTGCAGCTGCTGCAGCTCTTGCAGTTGGTGGTCCTGTTGTGAGTGCTGCTGCTGCTGCTGCTGCAATTGCGTGAGGCTAGAAATGTGTTGGGGCTGTCGGCGTCTCTGTATACCCCAAAAGCAGCAGCAGCAGCTGCTACAGCAGCAGCTGCTGCTCACACAGCAGCAGCAGCAGCAGCAGCAGGATTTGGTTTTTTGAGTTTGCGTGTGTGGTTTGGTGAGCAGCAGCAGCAGCAGCAGCAGCAGCAGCAGCAGCAGCAGCAAGAGCCGACGGGAGGACCCCGACGGCTTCGCAGTGCCTCGTCCGGCGAAGCGACTTGCGCCGCCCCGCAGCAGCAGGCAGCAGCAGCAGCAGCAGCAGCAGCAGCAGCAGCAGCAGGCAGCCGCAGCCGCCTGCGGCGCCGCAGCAGCAGCAGCAGCGGGAAGCCC